TTGGAAGAGTGAGCAATTTCCAAACCAAGGAAGTATTTGAGTCTTCCTAAATCCTTGATTTTGAAAGCCACATTAAGCACAGTCTTCATATGTTGGAATTCTGCCAAGGAATCACCTGCTAGAAGCACATCATCAACATATACAAGTAAAATTGTAAATGAAGAAGAAGTACTTTTAACAAATAGTGAGTGATCTGATGTTGCCTGTTTGTAGCCATGTTGAATAAGCAATGAGGTTAGTCTCTCATACCATTGCCTACTTGCTTGTTTCAGGCCATAGAGAGACTTGACCAATTTGCAGACTTGGTTGGATTTGGTGGTGTGCACACCAGGTGGTATTACCATATATACATCTTCATGAAGTGTGCCATGTAAAAAGGCATTGTTCACATCTAACTGATGTAAGTGCCAGTTATGAATAGAAGCTAAAGCCAAAACAAGGCGAATTGTTGTGAGTTTAGCAACTGGTGAGAATGTATCAGAATAGTCCAAGCCTTCAATCTGGTTGTAGCCTTTAGCTACAAGTCGAGCTTTGAATCTCTCTATGCTACCATCAGACTTATACTTTATTTTGTAGACCCATCTGCAACCTATAGGCTTAACATTTGGTGGAAGATCCACTATTTGCCATGTACCAGTATCTTCAAGAGCAGTAATCTCAGATTTCATAGCTTGAATCCAACTTGCAGATTTACAAGCCTCAGCATATGTTTTAGGTTCAGTTTGAGTGGTGATAGATAATGTGAATCGAGAATGGGAAGGAGACAAATGAGAATAAGAAACAGAATTAGAAATGGGATAAGCCATACCTGAGGATGAAGTGATTGGGTAGTCATTGTTGTTGAAGGAAGCACAAACATAGTCTTTGAGGTGAGATGGTTGGTGCCTTGTTCTGGAAGAAACCCTTGTGGGGAGAATTTGATTGGTGGGTTGAGTGGAGAGAGAAGTAGGTACTGATGTGTTTTGTGTAGGTATATCGTGAGGATTGGTTTGTGCTGGAACTAGAGTATCAACATGTGCAGGATTAGACAATTCAGGTTGCACAAGATCATTATTGTCAATACTCGTGTCATTGTGTGCAGGGTCAGCTGATGTATTAAGCACATTATCAGAAATGTCAGCAATATCAAATACACTAGGATGAGTAGAGCTAGTAACTGGTGATGATGATTGTAAGGACTGTGTACTGAAATACTCCCATGAATTACTAAGAGATTCAGAAGAAGTATTGTAAGGCAGAATATGCTCATGATGTGTAATGTTCCTAGATATGAAAATGTCACTATTATTGAGATCTAGAAGTAAACAGCCTTTATATCCAACAGGGTAGCCTAAAAAGACTGCCTTTCTAGCTCTGGTTTCTAATTTGGTTCTATGAGAAGTAAGAGTAGAGGCATAGCAAAGAGAACCAAACACTTTAATATGACTAATGTCAGGTACATTGTCATGCAATAGCTGATATGGTGATTTTTGTTGAAGTAAATTGGATGTGACTCTGTTAATGATAAAATCAGCATAAGGGACTGCATATGACCAGAAGGATTTTGGTAAGTTTGATTGATATAGTAGGGCTCTACCTACATTCAAGAGATGCTGATGTTTTCTTTCTACCCTACCATTTTGTTGAGGTGTCTCTACACATGACTTATGGTGAATAATGCCCTTGGATGCATAAAATTGAGGGAGAGAGAATTCAGGTCCATTATCAGACCTGATGTACTTGGGACAGGTATGAAACTGATTCTCAATAAGAGTAATAAAATTTTTAACATGGTCAGACACCTCTGCCTTGGATTTTAACAAGATTACCCAAACAAATCTACTAAAATCATCAAGAACAGTAAGAAAATACTTGTGACCTTTAATAGAAGTAATGGAAATAGGACCCCAAATGTCAAAATGAATGAGTTCAAATTTAGCATTTGCTCTAGAAGTGCTGATAGGAAATGAAATTTTCTTATGTCTAGCAAAATGGCAAATATCACAGACAGCCTTATTATCATTAACAAGTTGTGGATACAATTGATGCATTTTAGAAATTCTGTCATGAGATAAGTGACCTAATCTAAAATGCCACAAGGCTTGTGGTGGAATCACTTTACATGTGTTGGCAGAAGTTTTAGGCATAGTGAGGTCATTGGAACAATCTGAGTTGGAAGTGTGTTTTCTTTTATCAGCAGACCAACCATCATCGAGCACTAGTTTGTACAATCCTTCTACTTGACTAGCCAAACCAATCATCCTCTGTGATTTCACATCCTGTATATAACATTTATCAGCATGAAAAGAAAGTTTGCAGTTAAGATATTGACACATTTTTGAAACTGACATGAGATTAAGAGAGAAGTCAGGAGTGTACAAAACATTTTGCAAAAAAAACTGTGGTGAAAAGTTAACAGTGCCAGCTTGTTTAGCAATGACAATAGCACCATTAGGTAGACACACATTAACAGGTTTAATTTTATGTAAAGAACTAAACCAATGAAGAGAGGAGCATACATGATCATTGGCACCTGAGTCAATGATCCAAAAATCAGGTTTTCTACTAGTGGAACAAGATGCTATGAGCACTTGAGAATTACCTGTAGACTCATGTGTAGAAATGTGATTGGTGGTTGAATTAACATTGGTAGCAGAATTTGGCAACTGAGACAGTAAATTTGTTTGCTGCAACAAGTTAATCAACTGAGAGTATTGCTCTTGAGATATGCTAGCACATTGACTCCTAGAGGAATCTTCTTCACCAGTGGAAGCAGTTTGTTGGTTGTCACCAGTAGAGGAATTTGTGGCATTAGCAACAGTTTGCTTTTTACCATAGTTTGGAGGAAAACCATGCTTCCTATAGCAAACTTCAACTGTGTGACCTGCTCTATTGCAATAAGTACACAACCTATTGTCTTTGCGCGAGTTTTGGGAACTATTGTTACCATGACCAGAGTAATTGGCTTGCTTGCCACGATCACCTTGTCTTCTTGAGTCATAAGCATTTACCAAAGAATTAACTTCTTCCATAGGAGCAAAGGATTCAGGTTTCGAAAGTAAAGAGACGTTATGGCTCTCTTCTTGAATCACCATAGAATAGATTTTGTTGATGGATGGTAAAGGATCCATCAAAAGAACTTGAGTTTTGATGACAGAAAATTTGTCATTTAAACCAGTTAGAAATTGTATTACCTGATCTTCAATGCGAAATTCTCGAGCAGCTCTCAAGGCTTGGCAGCGACATTGTTGAGCACAAGTGCACGATGGTAGAGGACGATAAGAGTTTAATTCCTCCCATAAGCCACGCAGTTCAGTGAAGTAATCAAGAACTGATTTCGACCCTTGCTTGAGATTGTTAATCTCCATGCGCAGAGTTGAGACACGAATTCGATCAATCTTCGAAAACCGTTCCTGGAGATCATTCCAGACTTCAAGAGCATTCTCCAAGAAAACGATAGTTTGAGCAATGGGTGATGTAACAGAGTTGAGAATCCATGAATGGACTAAGCAATTGCATCGTTCCCATGCACAGCGGTTGAGATCATCAATGTCAGGAATAGGAATAGTGCCATCAATGAAAGCAAGCTTGTTCTTAGCACCAAGCGCTCGTTTCATTGATCTAGACCAAGAAATATAATTGACACCAGTCAATTGAGGTGTGATGATCACAGATGTAGGGCCTTCACTAGGATGTACATAGTAGACTGAATCTATGTCACCATTGGTGACACGTTGAGTTGAGGTGGTGGAATTGGAACCGCGCGCCATAGATGAAAAAGAAGGGCTGGATTAAGAAGAAGAAGGACTGGTTTATGGGAAAAGAAGAAGGATCACAGGTGTGGATCTTGAAGCGAATGATACCATATTATGATTGAGAACTCATGCTCAAATCAATAGAGAAAAGAGAGAAAAGAGAGAGATTAAAGAAGAGAAAGAAAAGAAGCTCTTTATTACACATATATAAGCTTATGCATTACACAGCTATATATACTAGCATTCTGTTACAAGCTATTCATGTAACTGACTTCTAATAACCACTAACTACCTAACTGTATAACAACTAACTGCATAACTGTCTAACAGCCAGCATAACTGCCTAACAGCCTAGGTAGTTGAGAGTTGTTTTTTTCAATATTCTAAACTTAGTTATAAATTGCAGTCGAGATAATTTATCAATCAGTAAGTTACAAGGAAATTCAAGAGTTTAAGCACAAAAATTATCTATATCATCCGGACATAAATAAAAATTAAACCTTAAATGAATTGAAAGATCAAAAGAAATTTTAATATTGAAACTCTAATATAAAATAAATAAAAACTTAAAATTTAAATTGAAACTAATACAAGTGGATTTGATATTATTTATTAGATCTGTTTATAATTTTATAATTTTTATCAATATACAAAATAAGAAACATAACACTTATTCCTTCATATTCATATTCGAATGCAATTATGAGAATGAAAACGAAAGCGTACATGAGTTTGTCATTGAGAATCACCAAATATTACGGATATTTGATCTTCTAATGTATAGAATTTCTCCTCTGATAAGAATGAAGAGAGAATTACTGACGAGCCGTTCTGCGTTGTCTACAAATGAGAACCATAACTCTTATAAATAATTTTATGATTATTTCTTAATTTTTAATATTCTAATTTATTCTCTAGTCAAATTAGATATTGACTTGTGATATCTACTATGTAATATTACCTTTCATGGTATTTATATTTTTAATCACATACTTATTATTAATTAGACCACTACAACTTTAATCAATTACATAATAACTCTAATTACAATTGTGACTCAAACATTATAAGATTTGATTCACGAGAAAATTGTCATATTAGTTTATTAAATGGAGAAACACAAAACAACATACATCTACAATATATTAAGTACCACAAATGTTTTAATTTTGATAAGTGCAAATAGAATAAGAATAGTCACTTTATTTTACTTTGTTTGAACTTATACTATAGAAAACTCAGAAGCTGCATGCAATTCCACTTTTCTCAAGGTGATGATGGCCAGAAGGGACGAAACATTGGCATAATAGAAAACTTCATTTGTCCAATGTTGCAATGTAATCCATTTTTCTCACCGCACGAAAAGTAATAAGGCTTCCATTTGTTTAAGACGAACTTGAATCCCTCTCCAACACCTTGTGTGTGATTGGCAACCATCTTAGCCTTCTTAACATCACACTTGATGAAGCTTCTCCAACTTGAATACATATAAACGCTGTGTGGGAAACTCGTTGCATTTGGAGCATCATACTTGAAAACTACATACACACGCATATATATATTAGTCAGGATTCAAAAGGTTTTATTGATCTGGAGTGAATGAAAAACTTACTGAGAGTATCGTTGAGGTAAAAAGGGCCACTCTTGATAGCCCAATCGGAGTAGTTATAGCCAAATTGCCAATTTTGAGAGCCACCAACGACGATGTTCTTGGATTCTTGTTGTGTCTTATTCATTTGATGATAGTGGTTTCCAAATCTTGACCACCAATCAGTGTAGTTAAAATTACCGAAGGAGGGCCAGTCCTTGTTAGCTATAGTAACGCTAAACATTGAAGTGGTTATTATAACAAATAACATGAGTACATGAACACAGTTGGTGGTGGAGGCCATTGTTTAAACAAAGCAAAGGGAATGTGTTAATTGTTATGATTTAGTTGGAGTTATTGAGGGGGGTTTATATAGAGGTTTGTGTGTGTGAAAGGAAATTAAAGTGTTAGGCATGAAATATACTTGGTGGTGTGGAATTACCAAATTAGCTTTTAATTAGTCTCGATTTAAGTGGGGTTAGAACTTGGAAACAAGTTGAATATGTAAAATTATTGTTATTGAGAAGGAGAGTGTGGCACAGTTAAATGTGTTCATAGAATGTCATTTTGGAGGAAAAGGTCAAATGGGGTAGTGTAGCTATAATGAGAGTTGAATTTTATGAGGTCAAAGCAAGTGTGTGTTAGTATTATTGCACATTTAACTTAATCTATTGTGGATAAGAAATTTCCGTAGAAATTCCATGACTTATGGTGTGTTTGGTTTGGCTTTTCAGCCACCAAACGTACGTCTGGGTGTCCTCCCATCTTGATTTGTAAAAGCTACAAAAGTTAGTTTTTTGACAAACCTTTTTTTTAGAGATTAAATAATTAGTGAGATATGCGTGTATTTGTAAGGGTGTTGGAATGATATGTATGATTTTATTTTTAAAATATAATAAAATAATTAAATAAATAAAATTATTTTATTAAAAAAGTTTATTATTTTTTTGAAAAAAATTATATTTTAAAATTGTTTTACCAGAATTGTTTTGAATCAATAATATATATTTTAATTTTTTATATATTATTTTAAAATATATGGTACTTTAAATTAAAAATAACTTAAAATAAAAATATTAATAACATAAATAATTTAAAAATAATATATTTTGTACGTATTATATCAGTATTCGTGTGTTTGTATAAGTATTAAAAATCTCAAAAACTACACCTCTAAGAATTTAAGTCCAGGAACCTTCCCTCATTCATCTAACATTTAACCACTACACCATCAAATTTATTGTTGCTAAATAATTACCTCAAAAATTAAAATAAATACCTTTAATAAATTTTTTCAAAATATGTCTCTCAACCATCACTTTGTCGTCTTTTTCTGCAGTGGATCAAATTGAAAAAAACACAGACAAATTCATTCCCTATTTTCCACCCATCTATTAACTCACGTTGTAGATAACACATATACTCCTTTGTACTCTCCAAAACCCATTACACAAATCTAAACTCCTTTTCAATTTCGGACAACCCAACAAACCACCATACCACATTCCCTTCTGTCAATTTCCGATTAACAATAACCTCTCCATCGTATCCCACCATTACTACCTCACAACTATCACCCTTCTTTCTTACTATCTCCAACCGGTATCACCCTTTACACACGAACACAACTCCCATACGCTTCCGTCAGCTTCTGTTCCACCATTTCCTACAACCTTCTGCTACCCGATTCATACATCATCTGCAGCCACTTCACAGATAACCCAATTTCCCTCTGATTCCATTATCAACCTTCGTTCTCCGCAAGCCCCAGCCATCTGAATCTCGCTCTCTATTCTGCACCTTCCTCACTAGCTCAACATTTCAACTACCATCTTACTCCCTCCTGTCCGAACAGAGCCATAACAACAATGTATTTCTCATTCCGATAAAGAATGCATCTCTAAAACTTCTAGTGTGATGTCATGAAAATTGCGACTGACTGCAGTGATGTTTTGAAGAAATTTATAAAGATATTTATTTTAATTTTTGAGATAATTATTTATAACAACAAAACTGATGACGTAGTGGTTGAATATTTGATGAATGAGGAATGGATCTTGGGTTTGAATCCTTAGTGGTGTAATTTTTTGAGATTTTTGTATTTTTTATTTATAAAAATATTTGAATTAATAGTATAATTATTTTTTTATATAAATATTTTTGTTTTAGAATTATTTATAAAAAATATCCAAATAAATAATAAATTTGTTTTCGTTATTATTTAATATTTAAATCAATAATTTAATATCAGTATAATATGCGCGTATCATATTAGTACTCGTGTGTTTACACGAATACTAGTATGATATGTTAAGTTGTCATCAATTATTTACAAATATGAAAAAATAAGACATTGTGATAAAATAAAGAAAAATCAAATAATTTATTAATTATTCATAAATCAAGATAGTTTATTATTGAAAGTAGCACAAATGGACTTTTGTTAGAGCTTTCTATTGCGCTTCAAGTGCAATGCCAATTCAGAATTTAATAATGGTGTATGAAATCTCTAAGTTGTTGGTTTTGATTTGACATTTGAGTTGTTTGTAATTGTAGCATATTATGTATGCATTTGTGAGGCATGTTATTCGAACTTCCATTTCAAGAATTACGAGGGTCATAAACTACGTGCAACATCTTGGATTAAGTTTTAATTGTTTATGTTTTACGTATGAAATATTATTTTGGGTTACTTTTTAAAGCCATTATGAATTTACCTCAAAAGTATCTCATTGCTTCCAAAAGCTATTTCCGATGAAATATTTATTTTCATAATATGCACTTATATCACTACTTTCAAAAGCAATTCCTTTCAAATTATGTACTCATTATTACAGTTCAACTTTTAACTGTATATTTCCACGACGTTATGTATGTATCACTATTACGACATACCATTTGTTATAGGGGTATGCCATTGTTACCGTATCATGCATTTTCGTATCAATGTATTAAAAATATGCTCAAGGACTCATTGGTGAAAGATAAAAGTTATTTATGTATTGAAGTAAACAATTTTGTAGATATGAAGATATTCCAGCTGAGAAGAATCATCTTACCTGTGACAGCTGCTGAAAAAGAACCCCCACAAGAAATATAAATAGTATACTCATGAGCTATAGCCTTGACTATTGTTGGTATCTTCTGGTTTTCGATAGATCTGTAACCCAACTGACCAGGTACAATATCATTACTTTTATCTGATACAGCTACAGGTTCTTTATTAGTCTCTTTTATAACATCTTCAAAGTGTTCAAGGTCATCAATATCAAAACACTCATTTTGGAAGGCCGTGTAACAAGTAAAGAGAACATATGGAACATACACAACAAAACAGTGCAGCAAATAAGTAAAAAACAAAAGTTGGATAATGCATATGTTTACCTTACAAGAACAAACAAATTGAGAATGAATCTGCCTCAGAGACAAATACTTTTGCATCTCTTGTTGTAACCTGTTACCAAAGAAATACTAAACAAATGAAAGTATTTTTACTTAATGATGTTAAGAAACCTAAAAATAGCATAATAAACATCTGATGTAAAAAAATATAAAAGGTGAAACACAAACACAAACTTCAAATAAACCCAAACACAACAACATATAAGAACATAAATAATATGCATACACAAAGATGAACATAAGAGAAGATACAAAAGAAGAAAAATTGCCTCAAGTTGGTTGAAAAAATGAAGACTTTTAACTCCACAGTAGACCTGTCTAAAAATCAAATGAAGTGAATAATGAGTCCAACAAACCGTGAAGTATGCATACATCAATGAAAACATTAGAAGAATTAGAAAAATGATTTATGATGAAGAAAGACGAAGAAGAAGATTTCATTTTGGAACATGAGCTTAAACTACCTTCGATAAAGATGAAGAAAGACGAGAAAGAAAGAGAATGACGATGAAGAAGGAGATTCAAACCCATTCCCGTTTTTTATTATTCTTGAAACTTAATAGAAGAAGTAAAAAAGAAGTGAAGAAACAGAGGAAATGTTACGAGTAGTGTTATGGACCTGAATCCTCTGCAGCCACATATGACTGCAGGGCCCTGCATTTAGGCAAAATTTGTTATAAAAAATATGGAGAGAAAAAAATTATGCAATGACAATAATAGCCTTCAAAATCTACTAACAGCAGTGTCGTAATAGGCAAAAAAAATATAAGAGTTGTCACCATAAATTTTTCTCTTAAGGACGGGGGAATAACAGATAATCCTAATTCTGTCCGAGATTCTACACTACAAGAAAGATGGTCCCCAGCGACATATATTAGCGACGTGGTTATCACGTGAGTAATAAATGCAGTTGCGACGTGATAACCACGTCGCAAACATATTTTAATGATACATAACGCAAGTCAGAGAAGTTTGTATAGTAAAAAAATCAGCGACGTGTCTTACACGTCGCTACAGAAGGGGGAAATTTGAAATTTGGTAGCGACGTGATAGCCACGTCGCTACATTAAAGGGGGGAAAATAAAGTTGGTTGATGACAGAGTTGCAGAGTGGGAAAGAGAATAATATTTCTGTTTAGTTTGTAGCGACGTGAGTATCACGTGGCAATGTTGCAACGTGACAGTCACGTCGCTACTTGACGTTTACATCTCCAAAATTTTCATCCGTTACAGCAGCGTTGTCTTCCTTTCCTCTTCCTTTCTTCTTCCTTTCCTCTTCCTTTCTTCTTCCTCTCAAACCCATTCTTCTTCCTCTCAAACCCAAATTTCCAAATCAAATTTCCTCCATCCCAAATTGTTGAAGAAAAATAAGGTATTCATATTTTGATAAATTTTTATTTCATTTGTTCATTATTTATTATACTGGTAATAAATATTAAAAATGGTATTTGTTCATTTGTTCATTATTGGTAGAGAAATTTGAAGAAGAACACCAAGAGCTACACAAGAAGAAGCAAATTAAATGAAGAAATTATATAGAGGTATTTGTGCATTTTTTTAATATTTTATATGTATTATATAGATTAGTAGTATTTGTATTTTGTGGTTATGGAGTATATGTATTTTGTTAGTAGTATATGTACTGGTAATAAAATTTTTTAGAAAACATAAAATTAAAAGTCTTATTTTATATATATATATATATATATATATATATATATATATATATATATATATATATATATATATATATATATATATATATATATATATATATATATATATATATATATATATATATATATATATATATATATATATATATATATATATATATATATATATATATATATATATATATATATATATATATATATATATATATATATATATATATATATAT